ATTTTAAAAGCTGCTAAGATAAGCCAATCAAAATAGAATCTTGAGTCTAAGTGTGATGAACAACTCTGATTTTAAGAAGAGATTTTCTATCAGTTGAAAAGCTCTTGAAGCTTCAGGGAAAGTGAGTTTTCAGGAAGAAAGGACTGAAGTTTCAGAGAGAATTATTATCTGAAATAGTAGTAGCTACTCAGGAGTGGCCTAGGCTTGCTGAGTACAGGGGAGGTGATCCATGCTAACAACTGCCACTTCCGAAAAGTTATGAGACATGATTTTTAAAAAACTGAGACACACATCTGACAGGAGAAACATTTCAGCAAGAAATCAAAGAGCAGGATGATGTAAGCCCTGAAGCCAAGGTCTCTAAGAGAGGAGAGAACAAGAGGGACTTTTCAGGTTGATGAAAGATTTCTTTCTCGGAGCTACCACAATAATTAAAAATTAATCTGTCTCATCTTGAAAAGGTGAATTTAATCAGGCAAATGGCCTCCCTGTGTGGACAGTTAAAAAGGAAAGTGCTGTAAAAATGCTGAACCTGAGGCGATCTGACTAATTATGCAAAAGGAAGATTTGCAAGAAAATCTTGGTGTGTGATGACAGGACCTGTGTCAAAGAATCTGTAGGATAATGAAAGGAACTCAGTTTTAGACTGGTGGTGATGGGGATAGGAGCTTTGGAGGATGGTTGTAATCTGGGATCACAGAGTTATAGATCTATGGAAGGCACTTCAGAGGCCATCTAAGCCTAGTTGTTCATTTTACAGATGAAGAAACCGACACCCAGAAAAGTTAAGCTTATTTACCCAAGGTCACACAGGTAGTAAGCATTGGAGGCAGGACTTGAACCCCAGTCCTCTGACTTCAGAGCAGTTTTCATTTCACTGTCCTGGACTATGCTACCTTCCACTTTGAGGGCTGTATTAACAAGAGGCTTTTTTGAGGGAAGGGTGGAGGAAGGCAATTAAATGGATCAGTTGTTGCTTCTGCACACATAGGAGAGAACAGGATTAACAGCCAGCCATATATAGCCTTCTAGAACACTAGATCTGGTTGGCAAGAAATGGTAGTATTCTGCAAATTGTTGCATATGTAGGGTGATAAAAAATAAAGAATCTAGGATGACTATGAACTAGGATGACTAGAAGGATGGTGATGCCTTTGACAGAAATGGGAAATTTTGGAAAGAGGAGTAACTTTGAAAAGAAACAATCATTTCAGACCTGGGATGGCTTGAATTTTTGGTAACTTGTCAATGAATGACCTTTCCTCAAAGGTCTCATCAGCTCAAACACTTCCCTTACTTTTCAGCCCCAAAGATTGAAATCCCACCCTCAGGACTTTTAGAGGACCCCTTTGAGAGGACATTGGTCAGTCAGAAACTTAAAAAGGAGTTTCATTTGTATTTGTGTGTGTGTGTGTGTGAGAGAGAGAGACAGAGAGACAGAGAGACAGAGAGACAGAGAGACAGAGACAGCGACACACATACAGAGCGAGAGAGAGAGAGAGACAGAGACACACATAGAACGAGCGAGAGAGAGAGAGAAAGAGAAAGACAGAGAGAGAGAAAATGAGAGAGATAAAGAGAGAAACAGACAGACAGACAGACAGATGGAGAATCTGGATTCAACCCCTCCTGCTTATTATACATATTGAGTGTATGATTCTTTAAAAGAAAGTGCCAACCTGAATTGGCAGATGGAGTTTTCTTGTTTGGAATTTCCCTATTCAAATAAAATAACATTGTCTCCATCCACATAGATAGAAATCCACAAACATTAACATATTTATCTCTAGCTATATTTACATCTATATTTCTATATTAAACATATGTATCCAATAATATCCATTGGATATTATTATATAAAATAATAATATGGATATTATATATGTATGTATATATATATACATATATATCCAAACTTCAAGGATAAGAGACCCCCAGCATTGGAGAAAGAGGGCAATAGAGACACTATACCTTTAGAGGAGAACAGATTGTTTGAAAATAGTGCTAGTAGATTTTGCCAAAGGGTACCATAGTTTTCTTGCCCTCGGTCTGCTATCTCAGCTCTTTAGTGGCAGTGACCAGACCTGAAATAATCCTGCCAGTGCTGAAACAACACATACACTGTATCTCAAGTACCCCCATTTCTAAATCATTTTTCTTCACATTTTCCTTGGCCCAACGTACAAAATAATCTTTCTTGTTCAAAGAGGATAAAATAATTTTCCTTCAGATACTCCAGGACTCAGGGGAAATCTCTTTTTCCATCTAGCTAAAAAGATAATCTATTTCCTTTTCTATGCCTCCCCACCCCCTCACTGGACGATCCACCAGCAGTTTCAGTATGGTTAAGGGGATACCTGATCTCACTGACAGTGTGCCTGGGTGATGGAATGAGTGGTAACCATGTCAGCACAAGTGACCCCTTGCCTCTGCTGACATTTAATTTTCACCAGCAATAGCTGTTAGGATGCCTAAATGTAACCCTCAGCAACATTTAGGTGGCCTGACCTTTGAGGGTCCCAACACCAAGACTTCTCTCCCTTCTCTCCTCTTCTCCCTCCTCTCTCTCTGTGTCTCTGTCTCTCTCTGTGTGTCTCTGTCTCTGTCTCTCATGTCATATTATCAATTCATCATATCGATAAATCCCACCAGCCCTAATCTCTCCTGAGCTGCAGTCTCACATCACCAAATGCTCTTCGGACACATTTCCACAGGCATCTCAAACTCAATGTGCCAAAACATATCTTTCTTTTCAAAGTTACTCCTCTTTCCAAACTTCCCATTTTCTGTCAAAGGCATCGCCATCCTTCTAGTCACCCAGGTTCACGTAGTCATCCTAGTTCATCATCATCCTAGATTCTTTGCTCTTTATCACCCCACATATGCAATAATTTGCAGAAAATTGCCATTTTTTGCCAACCAAATATTTCCCATATCTGTCATCTTTCCTCCATTCACAACCACCACCCTATTTCTCTACCTGCTTACCTCTTGTCTTTATTGCTGCCACCGATTTTTTAAAGTATGGCATGTATATCCTTTGATAGAATGTAAGCTCCTAGAGGGCAGGATTTTTTTTTCATTTTTTTCTTTGCATCACCAGAATCTAGCACAGTAATGATGGTAAGCACTTTTCAAACACTTTTTGATGGACAGACTAGGAATAATCTGTTGATTCAATCTCAGAAATGGGGAAAATCTGGCTTGGTAGGGGGAAAAGTAGAACAACTCAAAACTTTTCCCCAGAATGTGGGAAACTCATGCCATTGGTCATAAGATGACTTCTCTTAGGAGTCATCTACTAGATAGCTCTGGGGATGAGAGAGGTTTCCCCTGGGGAGTTCCAAATGTCCTTTCAGGCAGATGGGACTGCTACCTGAGAAGACAGAGCTGCCAGAGACTTAATCCACTCGTATGAGAAGGATAAAAATATCCATTTCACTCACATACAACAATAAGAAATGGCAGACTATATCTGTTTTAGGGTCCCTTATATTATGGGGTACTTTTTGTCTCTTATGGTAATACTGAGGTACCATTTAGAGGAAAGCATAGCTATTTGTTGTGACATCAATTTCAATCATCTCCACTATCCCTTACTTTATTTAAGAATTGTCCATTCATGAATTTATTAGCCTATACAGTCTCTCAAAGATGTGAGTTTTATAAATTTGCTCTTCAATGTGCAGGATGACATGGCCTTTTTAAAACTCATAAAGGTATCTCCTTTGAGCTTTGGAGTGGGGAGTGTTAGTTCTAGTGTCTCTAAATCACTGATCAACTCTTTATCCACCCTGTCCATCCATCTTCATGATTTTTTAGAATTGAAACTACTTCATTGTTAGTCTTCTCCTTTCCACTTGGCCCTTAAGATTTGAAATATTGAACCTGGAGCCCTGGAGATCTCTGAGCTAGGTTTTTGAGTGGGATAAGCAGGAAGGCAGACTTTCTGAGCTGTGGGAAGAGAGCAGTCCAGCTCAGGAGGTTCATGAGATTTGCTATAATGTGAGAGGCTGGAATGTATGTTGTCATCAACCTGGGCTCCCCTTTTATACCCAGGGTCTGACAATGCTAACAAAAGACATAAGTGTTTTAAAAGGCAGTCTCTGTCTCCATCACACCCTGATGCACAGTCCAGAAGCCCATCACACACTGGGATCACTAAAGAGAATCACTGCATCCTCAGACCCGGCATGGTAGGGGGCTGGAGGGATCTTCTGTTCAGCACCATATGGTGGAAGCAAGGTTAAGTCAGATGATTAATGTGGCATTGGCAATGCTGATGCTTCAGAATTTAATCTCCTCTAAAAGTCAAGGTATTTGCCTCAAAATAATAGAGGTGAAAATGATATTAGAGATAAAATAGTCCAATCCTCTTACTTTACAAATAAGGAAACTGAGACCTAGAGAAGGGAAGTCACATCTGAGACCCCGAAGTTAATCAGTGAGATATAGCTGGATCCCAAGGCCAGTGGTCTTTTGATTTTGCCACAGGGCCACACTCCATGGTGAAACATCCATATCTGCCCCTTTAAACATGGGCCCTGAAGGACTTTTTTTTTATCCCCTTCAGCTGTTGCAGGGGATAATCTCTGAGATTGAATGCACTGTAGATTTCTTTTCTGAGATGACTTTTCTGCTGTCCAAGAGACAAAGAGGAAATGAAAAGGCTACAGGATACATATCTAGGAACTAGAGAAAATGGGGAAAGACAATGGATTTACAGCTTTAGAGAAAGGGATTTAATCAGAATGTAAGGGTACAAGGGATGATTGATGAGTTACATGCTCTCTCTTGATCAAAGATGAGCAAGAATCATAAATAGGAAGAACTAGAAGGGATTTTAGAGACCATGCATCCAACTCTTTTATAAGAAAACTGAGGTCTAAATAGGGAAAGTCAAATTGTGAGATAGCAGCAGAGGTGAGATTAGAAACCCCCTCTGCCAATCCCCATTCCAAGGCTCTCTTCACCATAGCCCACTGCTTTCAGGTGCTTACATGGTAGGAGGCCCGCTCTTCTCTATCCATGGGTCTAGTTACATACATCCGACCTGACATAGAGTCAATATTGAAGACTTCCATGGGTGGTTGGTCAGCCCCGACTCCAGTGATGCTGTATCGGATGGGAATATCATTATCCTTGTCAGATCGAATCTGAAAGACAAAAGCAAACAGGAAGATGCTGTAAACATAGGGATGAGAAGTGAAAGCAGCATCTTTTAAAAAATTATTTTTATTTTCAATCAAAAATTCTCTTGCTCCATCCATTCCCTCTCCCACCCATTGAGACAGCAAGAAATATGATATCCATTCATTATGCATATGAAATCATGCAAAAAAATCACCCATGTTACACAAGAAAAACAATGAAAATAAACTGAAAAAAATATGTTTCAACCAGTACTCAGAAAGCACCAGTTCTCTCTTTGGAGGTGGATAGCATTTTTCATCATGAATCCTTTGGAACTATTGTGCATCATTGTATTGATCAGAGTAGCTAAGTCTCTCACAGTTAATTATCATTACATTATTGCTGTTTCTGTGTACAGTGTTCTCCTAGTTCTGCTCACTTCACTTTGCATCAGCTCATACAAGTCTTCCCATGTTTTTCTGAAACTACCTCCTTCATTTCTTATAACAAAATAATATTCCATCACAATCATATATCACAACTTGTTCAGCTATTCCTCAGTTAATAGGTATCACCTCAGTTTCTAATTCTTTGGCACCACAAAAAAATAGCTACTATACATATTTTTGCATATATGGGTCTTTTCCCATTTTCTTTTATCTCTTTGGGGTACAGACTAAGTACCAATATTAATGGGTCAAAGGATATGCACAGTTTTATAGCCCCTTGGACACAGTTCTGAATTGTCCTCCAGAATGCTTGGACCAGTTCACAACTCCACTGACAATGCGTTAGTGTCTCTATTTTTCCACATCCCCTTCAGCATTTGTCATTTTCCTTTTCTGTCATGTTAGCCAATTTGATAGGTGTGAGGTGGCATCTGAAAGTAACATCTTAACAACAGTGTCTCCTAAGATTTTCATTTACAGTTGAACTCTGAAGACATCAGAGTAAAGCAACCATTAATCAATAAAAAAGAATTCTTACTGAAGTCTTTATTAGACCCAGCCCTTCATACTATGAGAAATACAAAGTATAAGGCATACTGATCCCATTCTTCAAGACCTTACAGATTAGTTGGAAATTTAATAAAATATATTGAAAATAACAATAATGATATTTATAATTATAATAATAATGATGATGATGAAAGTAATAGCCAGTAATTATATAATGCTTTAAGGTTTGCATAGTGCTTTATAAATATTATCTCATTTGATCCTCTAAATAATCCAGGAGGTAGGTGCTATGATTGTCCCCATTTTACAGATGAGGAAACTGAGGCAGACATGGAGTTGGTGACTTGCCCAGGGTTACACAGCCAGTAAGTGTGTGAGGCCAGATTTGAATTCTGGTCTTCCTGACTCTAGGCCCAGTGCCCTATCTACTACCTAGCTACTTTTTTTTTTTTTTCCTGGTAAGGCAATTAGGGTTAAGTGACTTGCCCGGGGTCACACAGCTAGTAAGTTTCAAGTGTCTGAGGCCAGATTTGAACTCAGATCCTCCTGACTCCAAGGCCAGAGCTCTATCTACTGTGCCACCTAGCTGCCCCTACTTAGCTACTTCTAAGGGCAGGGGTTGGAGGTGGGGATGTAAGTGACTTGCCCGAGGTCATCCAGGCAGTAAGCAGTAGAACTGAAATTTGAATCCATGCCCCTTGATTCTAAATCCAGGTCTATATTCACTATACATAGTTCTTCAAGTTTAATAAATAGGGTATAGTGCCACACCACTTTTGATAGAAGGGCAAAAAATAAAACTGCAATTCACTGTCAAATCATAGCATCTACTAAACTAGCATACAGATCCCTGAGGCAGCTGTTGACAGAGAAAAGCCCCTAATGCCTGATCTTGGCCACTATTCACAGGAGCTTTGCCTCATACACAAGTTACAGAGGTTAAGTTTAGCTGATGACATGTTTTCAAAAGGATATTTTGAAAGGAATGGTCTCTTATGTATTAAGAGTTACACAAACTTTGCAAACATATGCAAGAAAACAAATTTAGAGCAGATTTCCTCTATGGAAGAGTAAAAAACCTTTAAATTTGAAGGAATTTATCCAATCAGCAGCTTAAAGATTTTATATCTCAGAGGCAATTTTCTGAGAGAAAACACAAGGTAGGTTATAAGGTACTCCCCCCATCCTCTGCAATAAACACAAAACCATTTCTGGAGTGTCAATGTGGTCACAGAATTTCAGAGTTAGTAGAACCTCAGAACATAGAACACAGAATGTTGGAGTGGGAAAGGACCCTAGAACATAGAATGTTAGTGCTGGAAGGGATCTTTGTTGTTGTTGAATCATTTTCAGTAGTGTCTAACTCTTTGTGACCCCTTTTGGGGTTTTCTTGGCAAAGATACTGGAGTGGTTTACCATTTACTTCTTTAGCTCATTTTACAGATGAGGAAACTAAGGCAAACAGGGTTAAGTGACTTGCCAGGGTCACACAGCTAGTAAGTGTCTCAGGCTGGATTTGAACTCAGGAAGATGAGTCTTTCTGACTGCAGGCCTGGCACTGTATCCACTGCGTTACCTAGCTGCCCCTGGAAGGGTTCTAATGTAAAACTTAGCATGTTAAAGCAACAGCAGTCCTTAGGGATTCTCTTGCCCTTCCATTACATTTTACAGAAGAGAAAACCGAAGCTCAGAGAAGGAAAGAGACTTGCCCAAATTTATTCTTTTCTTGTGATTTCTCTCCACCCAGGTGACAAACTGATTGGACTTTATTATCACAGTGCATGGTATAAACAGATTTTAATCAGTAACCAGGGGCTGTTTTAGGATTAAAGGCAGACTATAAATGGTTGGTGCCGTCATATTGATGCCCACCATCAGGGATGCTAGGACTAAGGAGAGAGAATGAAAAAACTCGGTATCACTAGGTAACTCTTGGCTAGATGTGGAACATAAAGCCATCATTGTTCATTCTGCAAAGGTACAAGTACATGCCTTTGGGTCTACAAAGATACCTGCCAGCTCCCTGGCTGTTCTGTTTTGGTTTGACTCCTTCACTGAAAGCATCCCATGAAGGACAATGCCATAAGAGGAGAAGCCTTGGACCTTTTCCATGTAAGGTGGATATGTGACTCAGTGAAACTGGCCTCAGTAATTTTCCTCTGAGTTTTTTGTTTTTTGTTTTACTTTTTTTATATGAAGACAATGGATACTCCAAACTTGTAAGTTTCAAAAAAGATGACGAAAGCAAGTCTGCAGACATCTCAATATGTGGTCTCAGCATCTGGGTTTTGAAGCCAGCCTACCATCCATGCCCCAAGAAGCAAAAGAGACTTCTAGGAATGAACTCTGGGGTACAGCTCAGTGTTAGTTAAGATAAGGATTTATCTGGCAGTGATGTCTCCTTCAGATGTGAACCTGATGGAGCCATTGCTATATCTGAAGTAAGTTTGAGCCCACTCTTCCCAGAAACTGACATAGTAGAGGAATGAGTGTTCAGCCGAAGTGTTGGGGGGGAAATAGCTATACTTTTGTTCTTTTTAAAACTGTAAATATATTTTTGTAAAAGTAAAATAATAATAATAATAAGAAGAAACATGGGAAGAGCCTGTAATGATGACATGATGAGGGAAAAATTCAGGAATAGTAATACTGTGGGCATGCCACCACATGGTATGCCCCATATTTTCCTCTCAGCGTCATCTGGCCTTTTCCTCTTCACTATCATTACACAATCTTTTCACCACCACAACCAGGCTAGTGTGAGTAATAATATAACATTTCCAATCCATTTTTCTGTTTTGGTCTTCTAAATACCATTTCAGAAATGCTAACTCATGATAAAATTCATAACTATTATACCCTTCCCCCACCAAAGGTAGAACTGTCTGAGGGCAGTCTCCCATATGCACCATACACAGCTCCCTGTTCTTCCTGCTTCCCTGTCCTCCACTCTAGGGGCTTAATTCAGCCTCTGAGTCCTGCTGTGTTCTTCTCTGGCTGAGGCATGCTCCTACTTATTCCACCCAAGTCCATACCAGTCACATGCCTAAATCACACCTGCAAATTTGGCCTCATAAGGAGGAACTTTCCAATGCCTTTCCAGATCATCACAGTGAGAGCCGGCCTGTTGCCTTCTGTCATTATTGAATTTACACTTGGTTCTCTGCCTCCCGCCTTCATTCATGGTCACCTTGCTAATAGTGTTGGTTATCACTAGAAATGACTGGAATTGAGTCTTAATTATACCTCTCAGTGCCACACTGAAGGTCACCATGTGGCATCCTCTCCTGCAAGAAGAAAATGCAGCCATTTCAGACCATCAATATTCAAGAAAAAAAGTCTGGATGTGCAAACTGAAAAACATCCAGGAAATATATTGAAACACATGCTTAAAGTATAATGTCATCCTTTCAGGAAACACCGATGGAATACAGTTCTTCTATTCACAGTAGGTTCAACTTCTCACTTCACTGGGGTTCAGTTTCTTTTGTATGCAAGGATTTCTTTGCATATTTTTCATTAGTGCTAATAAAGAAGTGGCTGCAAAGTCTTTTTTGTTCAGATAAGGAAAAACTCTTACTAGATATGGGCTATGGTACCCAGAAAAGGGATTAGATCAAACTCTCTTGAAAAGAAAAGGTGACATGACAAATGTCACAGATTTGAGGTTGGCTGCCTACCACCCAATGTTACCATCACCTATATAATCACCTCACTCCAGGATTTCATAGATCGTGGAATCATAAATCGAGAGATGGGAGAGATTTCGGAGTCTACCAAGCCCAATCTCCTTATTTTATAGATGAGAAAACTGGGCCTGGCTTAATGACTTGTTCAAGGTCACACAGATGGTAAGTGGCAAGGTTGGGATTTGAACTCTGTCTTCTGAATCAAAATTCATCTTTCATTCTATTATACCATAATTTAGTTCGATTAAACAAACATTTATTAGGTACCTACTATGTGCAGGGCACTGTGCTAGGTCCTGGGGATTAAAAAATAAAACAAAACAGCCTTTGTCCTTAAGAAGCTTGGATTCTCCCGACGGGATACAATCCCCAAAT